GTATCCTTAATGGAAGCTTTACCCCTCTCCCCAGTCAGCAGAGCTCTGGTCTGCCTAGGATTCACTCCTCCTGGTTAGTGGAAGAAGGCAGCTGACTCAACTCCCTCAGGGAGCACATGCTTCTCTCTGAGCTCTGAGCCAGGGTAGCTTTCTTTTTTTAAAAAAAAAAAAAAATATTTTTATTGATTTCAGAGAGAAAGAGAGATAGAAACATCAATAATGAGAGGAATCATTGATCAGCTGCTTCCTGCACACCCTCTACTGGGGTTGGAGCCTGCAGCCTGGGCATGTGCCCTGACCGGGAATCGAACCGTGGCCTCCTGGTCCATAGATCATGCTCAACCACTGAGCCATGCCGCGGGGCAGGGTTGCTTTCTTGGGTGGAGGTTTCCAAAACTCTGAGTTGCCTTGCAGATCCCCATCTCACTGGTCAGCATGGCCATCTATCCGCAGAGAGGACCACTTCAGTTCTGACGCCCAGGGTAATACAGAACCTTATTTAAGTTCCCACTGGAAGGAAGGAAGGAAGGAAGGAAGGAAGGAAGGAAGGAAGGAAGGAAGGAAGGAAGGAAGGAAGGAAGGGAGGGAGGGAAAGGAGAGGAGAGGAGGAAGAAGGAAGGGAGGGGAGCGCAGGGGAGGGGAGGAAAGGAGAAAAGAGGAAAGAAAAAGAAAGAAAGAAAGAAAGAAAGAAAGAAAGAAAGAAAGAAAGAAAGAAAGAAAGAAAGAAGAAAGAAAAGAAGCATTTGTTTTTAATAACAGCTGTCACTGAGTAAGCAACTACTATGGGCCAGACATCATATTCTGCTTTATGCACATGATCTGATTTAATCATACAAGAGTCCTATAATAATAGTTACTATTATCTCCATTTTGCAGATGAGCAAACTGTAGGTCAGAGAAGCTGAATAACATATCCAAAGTTAGAAAGCTAAAAGAATAGCAGAAACAAAATTTGAGCCCATGGCTGTCTGGCTTCTGAGAGTGTACCCATTTCACTGGCTGCCCTGCTGCCCTGACCTAATCCTCATTCCAGCCTGTGAGACAGATTCTTACCCTCATCTCCAGGATAGATGGAGCACTGAGCCTCAGTAAAGCTGATGATGTTACTGCTGCTAGAAGCAGGGGGAGGGTGGCTGTCGCTTCATCCATTTATTCAGGGTAATGTGGAGCTTAAGAGCACAAGCCCAAGAGAAATCGAGGCTGAGATTCTTACTAGTAGGGTGACCTTGGTATTCACCCCTTTGAGTTTTGACCCTTTAAAATGGGGAGGATTGTCTAGTTGTAGGACAGTTGGGAGGACCACACAAGATAATGCATGTGAAGTGCTGAGCACGTGGGAAGTGTCTTTACTTAAAGCTCCCCTACCCCTGCCGTAGAGATTCAGATTTTGTTCAGATGCCTGACACATTATGCTGGTTAACTATGCAGCCCGATTAGCTTCTGAGCCTGGCCAATGTAAGAGTTACTTGCCCAAAGTATAAATGCTTGGGCCCTGCCCCACGAGGTCTTGAATTAGGAGGACTGAACTGGGGCTTAGGCTTTCTTATCTTTAATAAATTCCCAGGTGATTATGATGCATAGCCACGTTTGGGAGAACCAACCTACTAGAGTAGACATCTCAGCCACAGTGGGGAAGAGACTCAGACTGGTTCCTCTCTGAGTTCCCTCTGAAAGGGTTCTTGTCACCAGCACCTCTTTTGTCTAGTTCCTCCCACTGGCTTCTGAGTGCTCTCCCCAAATCAAGGTCTACATGGCTTAGCAGGGAGTCAGTTAGTGGCTCTCAGAGTATCATGGACCTGGCTCTCCAGAGGCCTGGGAACCCAGTGCAGGGCTGGGAGGCAGGATGCCAGGGTTTCTAACGCCTTCACCTCACCAGTGCCCCATGACCAGTAAGTCTCCAAGTCTCAGTTTTCTCCTGGTCAATAGATAAGGAAAGCAGAGTGGCCCATTTGGACTCAGCTTCCTTAGAAGTGTATCCCTGGCACCTGACAGCCAGAGAGCAGGTAGGGGAAGACATGAAAGAATTCTGCCTAACTGTACTTCCCCATTGACATCTCACTTGATGGTCACAATGATAGGGCATGAAATCCAATGTCTACCTTGCTCTGTGACAGCCACTGTTATCTTTCCCTAGCCTTTGCTCCAATATTATCTTCTATTCCTCCTCCCTTTCTGGCCTGCTTGCTGTTCCTTGAATGCTCCACACTTGTTCCCACCTAGCTTTTGCACTATTTGCATGGCTTGGACTGCTTTTGCCAGGGATGACAACAAATCTGGTTCCTTCTTCTTATTCATGCTTCAGCTGACATGTTACCTGCTCAGAGAAGCTTTTGCCTAATCAGTCACCGAATCTAAATTGTCATCCCAAGCATTGGGACACATCGTTTTGTAGTACATATATAATTGTATTTTTCTGTTGTTGTTAATCCTCACCAGAGGATATTTTTTCCATTGATTTTTAGAAAGAGTGGAAGGGAGGGAGGGAGGAAGGGAGAGAGTGAGAGCGAGGGGGTGGGCGGGGAAAGAAAGAAAAAGAGAGAGAGAGAGAGAGAGAGAGAGAGAGAGAGAGAGAGAGAAAACCATCTATGTGAGAGAGGCACATTGATTGACTGCCTTCCACATGCGCCCACATAGGGGCGGGGGCTAGAATCTGCAACCCAGGTATGTGCCCTTGACCGGGAATCAAACCTGAGACTCTTTGGTCCTCGAGCTGATGCTCTAACCACTTATACACACCAGCCAGGGCCATTATTGTATTTTAGCGTTCATCTTGGCACTTGTCATCATAGCATCTATTTTTCCTTCTTTATTGACTTTGTCCTGCCTGTCTCCCCTATTATAGAATGTAAGCTCCTTGAAAGCACACCCGTGGCTGTCTGGTTTATTGCTGTGTCCCTGGTGCCTGAAAAGCATTCAGCAAATATTGGGAATAAACAAGTTAATGAGATTGCCCCTGCATTAACTGCAATTTCTTTTTTGGTCATTGGACGCTCAATGCTCTGAGAGGGGAAGTGACTGTCCCCAATACATTCCAGGCCTTTTGTCTTCTTTCCCAGGCCCTTCCGGTAAAACCTGGCTGACACACAAACCTAGCGGGGGTGAGGCTTCCAGGTGTGATGAAAGCTTGGAGTTGCCCTGTGAATGGGACTAAGGCTGATGTAGGGGTGAGAAGGCGGAAGAGCACGCAAAGGGAGAGGCAGGCTGGAACAGGACAGCAGGGTGTGAACCTGGCCTTGGGTCAGGGAAAGGGTGGGTGCCTTGGCTGTGTGTCTGGAAGTATTTCCCTCCCCCCTCCCCCGGGGAGAGCCCTGACCCCAAGGTGGCTTTGTTTGGGGGAAGCAGGTGATCAGACAGCTGCTGAGGGAGAAAAAAAAAAAGGTGCGGCCTTCATGGTGACCATCCACGGAGGTCCTAGGCCCAATACCTATCACCCAAAGGAGTAATTCTACAGTGGCACTTGGCCAAATAGGTGACAGGTTAAGCTTCCACCTGAAACCAGCCCAACCACAGCATGGCACCACATACAGCGAAGCAAAGGGAGAAAGGAGGCCTCCAAGGGAATGGAGTGATCCAGGTGGAACGCTTAGTGATGATGATGATGATGATGATGATGATGATAAGGTCACAGTTATTGAGAGTTTATAATATGCCTGGCACTATACTAACTGCTTTATATGTGTTCCCTTGTTCAATCTTCAAAAACCTCTCTCCAAAGTAGGTGCTAATATTATTACTGTTATCCCCTTTTCAGAGGTGTGGAAACAGGCTCAGTGAGATTAAATAACTTGTCCAAAGTCAGAAAGTAGAGAAGGCAGGATTCCAATTTAGGGCTGTAGTAATTCCAGTGCCCCTTAGAACCTAGGCTGGGAGGGCTGCCTGGGGCAGGTTAAGAGGGCAGAGCCTGATTGACCCCTGCAAAAGTGGGGATGGAGAGGGACAGTCGGATAGACGATGTATAAATAGCAGGCCTGTTTTTATCCCTACACATGGGCGGAAGCAGCGCATTCTGGCACAATTTGAGGGCTCTGAATGCCAACCCAGCCCTGTGTCATACAAATCCCTTCCCAGCACGTCCCTACGAGCTGAAATACCTACTGAGAGTCATTTCTTTGGGTCAGGACATTGACTTCAGAAGACCCTAGTCACAGTAAAAAGGTTGGAAGAGAAACACATCAATCTCCTGGCACCTATTGAACAAAGCAACCTAGGCTAGCTAGCTTGGTCCTGCAGCAGTGGGCTCAATTTTTATGTTGGGGAAGAAGGTGATATTCAAAGGCAAGGAAAAGTATGAGGCTTGTTTCATAGCCTGTGTTGTCCAATCCCAGAAGCCTGGGAATTATAACCCATAGTTCAAAAATCCTAATGGATACTATCCTCTAGGGGGGAGATGCGGGGAGCCGCTCCCTGGCTGGAAGAGTCCTAACCTCCTTTGCTTTGGTTGAATTGATACCAAGCGCCTGCAATTGCAACTCTGGTTACTCTGGGGCTCATGAGATCTGCTGGCATTCATGTGTCTACTTTTTAAATGATAAATCAATGTATTATTACTTACTACTTACAGTGTTAGTAGGCAAAGAAGCGAGTTTCCAAAACTCAGAAGCTGACATGGCGGAGAGCCCTGGTTTGGAGCAGGGAGGCCTTAGGGACTGGGCCTGGGAGAAGGGAAGGAATGAGGGGTGTCCAGGAACAGAACTCAGCTCAGCGGTGACAAGGCTGCAGCGCGGCAAGGGTTTGGGGAAAGGTAGGAACTGGTTCCCGCCACCTGCCGGTCACCAGTCTTACCCACAGTCAGGCCCTGGCTGCCCTGGCCTGGTCTCAAAAAATGTGAGCGCCGCCCCTACTCCCGCCCCCTTCCCCGTCGCGCCCGCCGGGTCGGGGGCTACTCTGCAGGCGCCGGGAGCCGGGCGATGTCCCAGCGCGGGAGGGGGGGGCGGGGGGGATGGCGCGGGCGGGGCGGGGCGGAGCGTCGGCGCCTCCCGGAGCCTTATTCCCGGCCGCGCGCTGGCAGCGCTCAGTCGACCGAAGGAGCCGCACGCATCACGTTGCAGGCCACCCTGACCGAAGCGCAGGGGCACGGGCGGACGGACGCACGCACGGACTGACGGAGGGAGCAGACCGAAGCCCAGCGGCCACTAGCTCCGCGCAGGTTCCCGCAAGGCTTGCACCCAAAGGCCGGCGGCGACCGTGCCCCACGGAATCTCCTGAGCTCCTCCCGCCCCAGTTCCTGTGCCAGCGCCCAGGGGCCGCTGCCTCCAAAGTGATTGTTGCCTCGTAGCCTCCGCTGGGTCCGGGAACATGAAGCTGCTGCCGTCGGTGGTGCTGAAGCTCTTTCTAGCTGCAGGTAAGAGGGCTGCCGACGCCCCCGGAGGTCTGGGGGCGGGGGGATGGGGACGCTCTGCTGGGGGTACCGGGGGAAGGTCGCTGCAGCGCCCCCGGCGTGGGCCACTTGGTGGGGCCCGTGCACCCTGGCAGGCGGACGCTGGCATCGTGTGGCGACCCGGGGTCTGGGCGGAGGGTCTGATGCGGCCTCGCCCCTTCCCTCGCAGTGCTCTCGGCGTTGGTGACCGGAGAGAGCCTGGAGCGGCTTCGGAGAGGGCTGGCGGGTGGAACCAGCAACCTGGGATCTCCCACTGACTCTACGGACCAGCTGCTGCCCCCCGGAGGCGTCAGAGGCCGGGAAGTCCTGGACTTAGAAGGGGCCGACCTGGATCTTTTCAGAGGTGGGTGTGGGAGCTGCCCATCCTCAAACCCTGGTGGGCAGGTGAAGAATAAGCAGACCCAGGATTCTTGTTGTTTGGGCACCTGTGGGTTTGGGGTATTTATGGAAGACTTCAAGGAAAAGCTGCTCGGCCTGGAAAGCTTACTGATGGATCCTGGAATATGGACCCCTCTCTTTCTTGCTCTTGGTTCCCATATTCCAAGTTGCTGGTCTTCTGGGTACCTTGGAGCACATTGAAACAGGCAAGGTGTCTGGGGTCTGTCCATTCCTCTGAGGTATGCCGGGTGGTAGGCACAAGAAATGATTGAGATGCTTTCCCTAGAGTTTCTATGTAAAAATGGGCATAAGCCCTAATTCCCACATCAAATGACTATTACTGTAGAAAATAACAGGTGTGGAGATGGTAGGCACATAGTAGGTGTGCAGTGTGACGCTCCTCCATCCACCTGTCTCCAGGTTGGGGAAACAGCGGGGAATGAGAAACTGTTGGTCTCCCAGGGTGAAGCCAGCACCTCCTGGGGAGGCTATGAGTGAGGAGCACTGGGTCCCTAGGGAGCTGTATTGAAATGCTTAGTGCCTACAAATCCTCCCCCAAAACCTGGAGACTTCCTGGCCACCTTGAGTCCCTGAGAGAAACTCCGAGGGAGGAAGGGCCCAGTGGGATCCTCCAAAATAGCAGATGTGGCTATGGCTGAGTATTGGTGCAGATGGGGCAGAATCCAGAGCCTCTGACATTGCCCACATCCTGGACCCAGCCACCTGCAGCAATTCTTGAGGGTGGAGCAGGGACTGAGCCCTGGAGGACCGGAATGACTATATTTGGTTGGAAAGATACCCACCTGTTCTAGCCCCGCCCTGAGCCACCCTTCTCCCTCCTTATCCAGCGCTTCCCTTAGGTGCTGTATCTGCTTTGTCTAAATCAAGGGTCTGCTGCAAAGCTGAACCTGGACTCCCACTCTTCATCCTCTCACAGTGGACCTTTCTGGTCACCCCTGAATGCTCCTGGCCCTCACCTCCTAGGCTGGGTGAGCTGGGTTGTGACTCACCCTCCACCCACATGCCTGCTCCTCATACCTCTGCAGACCTGACTCATGGCTCCCTCTGCCTGGCAGGAGACAGGTTGTCACCCTGTCACTCTTTCCTTCGCCTCTCTGATTGGCTTGGGTTATCTGCCTCAATTTCACCACAGCTCTGGTCACTGGGTTGTCTGGGCATCTTTTATTAAGTGCATACTGTGTTCTAGGCACTCAACATGTCATTGTGGGTTAATTAATCCTTATAGCAATCCTCTGAGATGGGAACTCTTACTGTTCACTTTTTATCAAGAATCCCAAGAATCAGAGAGATTAAGTGATTTACCTGAGTTCACATGGCTGAAATTAGAGCACAGGCCTGCTGACGTCAGAGCCCATTCATTGTCTCATTCCTGGCTCAGCATCCCAGGTGCTCTAGACTTGTCTGGGGGAGGGGACAGGAGTGTGTGAGGCAGCTTGGTGTATTGGGAAGGAGCCCTGGGTACGGAGTCCACAGATTATGCTTCTAATTCAAACCCTATATGACTTTGTATGATCTTGGGCAAGTCACTGCCTTTGGGAACCTCAAGTTTTTCACTTGAAATGGAAAGCCATGATATTCTTTTTTTCCCCCTTTAAAGTGTTTTTATTGATTTTAGAGAGATAGGAAGGGGGGGGGGAGAGAGAGAGAGAGAGAGAGAGAGAGAGAGAGAGAGAGAGAAGAGAATGAATTGATGTGAGAGAAAAACATTGATCAATTGCCCCCTGTACACCATCTGACTGGGATCAAACCTGCAACCTGGGCACGTGCTCTGGTGGGGAATTGAACTGCCTGCCCTTCAGTGCATAGGATGACGCTCAACCAACTGAGTCACACCAGCCAGTGTGGAAAGCCATAATATTCTTTGAAGTCATTTCCAGCTTGAGTATCCTGGATCTCCAGTCTCACGTTTGATGCTCACCTGTCTGCCAGATACTTAGCTACAGCCATGGACAGTGGGCACCTTTTTTCCAGCTGGGGGCAGGGAAGACGGGGGACTGGTGTCAGTCCCAGCTGGATGTCTGTGGGAGGTGGTTTTTCCCTTTTGAAGTGTGAAAGAATGGGGGGAATCATCGTTGTTTCAGTTCCTTCTGGATAGTCCCTTACTTTTTGTCTTTCTATCCCTTCTACACACTGTCCTCCCTATCCTAGAGAGCCAGGGCATTTGGAGATAAATGTAAATGGACCTATGAGAGAAGTGGTGAGCTGCAAAGGGCACAGAGCAGGACAGATATTTTGCTTGAAGTAAAAACAGCAAGGCCCTGAACAGGGATGGCTTACTTGCTAAGCTCATGGTACTCCGGTGCTAACAGGTACCCCAGAGGAGTCCACCTGGACATGGGCACTGTTCTTATTTTAGGAACGCCCCCCCCCCCCCCCCCAAAACAACCCTCCAAGAACCTTCTCCAGAAGCAGTTTTATCTCTGACATGGTCTTCCTGCAAGTGAGCACTGAGTGCAGCATCAGGAAATGAGGTTGATTTAAGGCCAACAGAGAACCAGGTTGGCATGGGACAACAGGAGATGGGGATGGACAGTGGGATGGGGGCGAGGTTGGTAGAATTGCCCCATCAGTTGCAGTTACTCAACAGAAGCTAGCATCCTTCTTGGAATGAAGTTCTTAAACGGAAGTTGTGAAATGCCTTCCTTGGGAACCCATGAGACTCTACTTCTTCCACCACTTTCTGGTTTTTCTGCCCACTCTTTTCTTCAGCCTTTGGGAGGTTCTGAGCCAATGGGCCTCCCCAGGCTTCTGACCTCAGGTGGGATCAGAGAGTACATTCTCCTTCCAGATGCTGTGCTGTTCTGGTTCTTTCTCTGCAGGGGTTGGTGGGGGGAGGCCAAAGACTTAACAGAGTCCTTTTCTCCTGCAGCTCCTTTCTCCTCCAAGCCACAAGCTCTGGCCACCCCCGGCAAGGACGAGCGTGGGAAAAGAAAGAAGAAAGGCAAAAAGGGGTTGGGAAAGAAGAGAGACCCGTGTCTTAGGAAATACAAGGACTTCTGCATCCATGGAGAATGCAAATATGTGAAGGAGCTCCGGGCTCCATCCTGCATGTGAGTTCCTGCCCCCAGGCTGACGCTCAGCCCGCTCTTGTCAGCCACGTGGCTGTTCCTAGTTGTCACTGTTCCTTGAATTCATAATTCCACCCAGTTTCTTCTCAACCTTGGGGCGGAAGTTGGGAGGAAGGGAAATATTTTTAGTTAGAGGAAGGGGCATCCCCCGCATAGGATGCAATTTCCTGTGGTGTGGGTCTGTGACGTTCTTTCATCCTTGGGGTCATTTCCTGCTTGCTCAGAAATAAGCATGTGGCTAGGAGAGCCGACACCTGAAGACAGGTCCTTCATTCCCTGCCTCATGCCTACTCCAGATGGAGTATTTCTGGGTGGAGCAGTGCTCCTGTAGCCTCCTTTCCTAGGCCCTGCAGGCAGGTATGTGGTACATTTGGACACATGCTGTGCAGGCATGTGTGCCCTTGAACATGTGTGCACATGAATGAGCTAATGTGGGTTGAGTCTAAGGCATGGTAGGACTGCACAGAGAGTGATCCTCATGGGAGTGGGGAGAAACCTCTCCTCCCCTTTTTCTCCCCCTTCCCCCAGCAAGGGCCAGGAGGTAGGGCACATGGTGGGTATTGGCCTTTGGTCATGGGGTGGGAGAACACTTCCTTTGTGCAAGATTAACAGGAAGTGGAGCCCAATCCAGTAGACATCAGCCCCCAGTCAGGCAGCACCACCCTTCCCTAGGCAGGGTTGTGGGTGGAGGGGCCATGGGTTCCCCAGCTGATCTGTCAGGCCATGCCCAGAAAACGGCTGTCTTGGCAACCCCTCAGGGATGACGGCACTGCCATGCTCTCTGGCAGGCATAATGTCGCCAGTGTGCCTGAGGCCAACACCCGCGTCAGGCAGTAAACATCCACTCTCTCCTGCTGGGCATGAGGCCCTATGGGGAGGCAGGCTCTGTGACCGGGGAGACTCTGGACAGGGCCAGGAGAATGCTGGGTGCACACCACCTCCTAACCTGTCAAGAAGCCTGGCTGCCTGGCATCTTTTCTGTGATGGTGAAGATCCCTTGGCTTTTTAAAACTTCCTCGTCCCGTCTGATCTCACATAGCCATGCTGCCCTGTACTTGGCAAGTGGCAGACAGACTTACTCCCCACCTTGTCCACAGTCACTTGTGTCATCTCCTATAACATCCTTGTCAGGAGCTTGGTATTGGAGGGGGTTGCTTAAGAATGACATAGACAGTCTCCACATTATACTTCCCAAGGCCTTGGGACAGGGCAGGAAATGTTTGTCTTAAATTTTTAAAATGGCATCATTAACACAGGGTGGAGGCAGTGACTCTGAGGGTAGTCAAGAGGGATTGAGGCCAGGAATCTGTCTGGGCCAAATGGGACCAGGGCGTTGGTGGATGGACTTCCACTGCTCAGCTGAGAACCCTTGTAAGATTGCTCTCCTGGACAGCTGGCCTCAGCCGGCCACCTAAAGCCAGAGAACCTAAAGGGTGCGCAGGGCCACGGTGGCCCTAGGGATGGTGATGATAACCATGATGATGCTTCTCTCCTTTGCCCTGAAGTTTATATTTAACTTGAATTGAGCCCAACAGGTGTATGTTGCACGCCTACATGATGCCAGTTGAGCATGTATGTGATGCCAGCTGTTCTAGGGGGTGGGAAGATATAGTCCGGTCATGGGATTCTCAAAAGCTCTCTGCTGGGTAGGCATTGCTTACTATCTCTACTTGAAAGATGAAGAAACTGGAGCCAGGAAGTAGGAAGTGATTTGCCTGAGATCAACAGCTAAATAAGTGGATGGAAACAGGACAGGGACTCAGGTGCCTGACTTCCAGTCCAACATGGTTTTTATGTCCCCGGGCTGCCCTGGGTGTTGGCTGGCATCCTTCTTCCCTGCCTATCCTTACAGAGTTTGAGCCGGATTTTAAAGAGGGCAGCTGTTAGCCTAGAGGTCTTTAAGACTTTTACTAGGCGAAGAGAATGGCAATCTGATTTGAAGACTTCCTAGGCATATTTTCAAGGGGCTGGATTCTGTGTCTGGTTGACTGTCTCCTGCCTCCAGCCCTTGGTATACAGGGCAGAAGGCACCAAGAAGACGCAGAGCTCTTGGTTTGGGGGAATGTGACATCTGGGCACCTACATCTGGGGCCCTTTGTGGCTCCTCCTTGCCTCCAGACCAGGAACCACCACAGGATGTGTCCAGGCTGCTGTGGTGAGCTTGAGGCTAGTTGGCTTCCTAAGCCAGCCCTCCCCGGCCTTCATCCACAGGAAAACTCTTTTGTGTCACCAGCCAAATGTTACCCTCAAAGAGCAGTTTCCTGGGGCTCCTGACTGGCTGCTGACCCAGATATTGGCTGCAAAGTTTCCTGTGGCTGGAGGAAACCTGGGAGCAGCTGGGTTGAGGACTCAGAGCTGGCATGGGGACAGGCTTGAGGGCTCTACTTGCCTCACTGCCAAGTGCTGAGAAGGAATGGCAAACCCCTTCTCTTTGGATCCTCTGACTTTGGTGCCCCCTTCCTCAGGTATGGGCAGTACCCTCTGGAGTCTGATTATATAATAATGCATACATACATGGGACTTAGCCTCTTATTAAGTGCTTTTATCTATATTATTTGATCTTCACAATACTCTAGTGAAGTAGGCATTTATTATTCTTGTATTTTTTTAAAAAATATTTTTATTGCCCTAGCTGGTTTGACTCACTGGATAGAGCGTTGGCCTGGGGACTGAAGGGTCCCAGGTTCGATTCCGGTCAAGGACATATACCTTGGTTGCAGGCTCATCCCCAGTAGGGTGTGTGCAGGAGGCAGCTGATCGATGCTTCTCTCTCATCGATGTTTCTAACTCTCTATCTCTCTCCCTTCCTCTCTGTAAAAAATCAATAAATATATTAAAAAAATATTTTTATTGATTTCAGAGAGGAAGGGAGAGGGAGAGGGAGAGAGAGATAGAAACATCAATGATGAGAGAGAATTATTGATCTGCTGCCTCTTGCATGTCCCACACTGGGGATTGAGCCCACAACCCAGGCTTGTGCCCTGACTAGGAATCGAACCATGACCTCCTGGTTCATAGGTCGACGCTCAACCACTGAGCCATGCCAGCTGGGCATTATTCCTGTATTTTACATGAGAAAACCAATGCTCTGAAAGGTAAACGTAACTGCCCAAGATTGCCTGGGTAGAAGTAGCAGCAGAGCCAGTCTGGAACTCAGGTATTCTGAGCCCCCTGCACCAATGGTGCCCCCTCCACCTCCTGGAGTAGAGGTGGAGAAACCCAGTTTGGAAGATGTCTCTGGACCCTAGGGGGTTCTTGCTTCTGTGTAATACAAGCTCTGAAATGGGTCACAGACATGGGTAGGAGGGTCATGTCCCAGTTTGATGGAGCACCCACTCTCTGGCTCTGGAGAAGACACACAATCTTGCCCCCACCCTGGGGTGTTTGGAATGCACTCATCCTCCCTCCTTCCCTGGGGAAGCCAGGAGTCTGCTGCAAAGGGAGGGGGAGGTGGGTAATAGGATGTTTACATTATTATCCTTTTGACTCAGGGTGGGGGTGGAAGGATTATGTAACTGGATTGCAGGACCCTGAGGCCAAGCTTTATTTCTATCATCTGAGTAACTACCTGTGGGGTTTGAATGATAGGCTGCAAGTGAAAAACAGGCTCAACTTCAGCTTTCCTCCCTCTGGGAGAGCAAGTATCTGAAGTCATCCAAACTGCTGGATTGAATCCTGCCTTTACCACTCTCTAGCTGTGTAACCTTAGCTAAGAAGTTAAGCCTCAGTCTCGTCATCTTTAAAATGGAGAGAGTAATTCCTACTTCATAGAGATGTTTTTAAGGTTAAACGAAATGATCCTTGTAAAGAAATTAGCAGAGCACCTGGCTTATTTATTATTTAAGTTAATAATAACAATAACAGCAACAGTAATAATAACAGTAACAGTCAGAGAGCAGGGCCCAACAGCCCTAGGAACCCATCAACCCATCACATGTGTATTTTCCTGGGGTAACTTGCACTGTTTATGAATTTGGAATCTGCCAAGACTGGTTTCTCGTCTTAGCTCTCCTGCATGCTAGTTGTTTAACTTTTGGCAGCACACTGAGCTCAGAGTCAGACCATCTAGTCCACACCTCTGCCCTCTGCAACCCATGGGGAAAGCAGCTCTGCCCTGCTGCGTGCCATGGCATTCCTACCTACATCAAAGGATCTCCCGGTGCTCAGAATAAGGAAGGGACGGAAACGTGCTTGTTCAATTGTAAGCGCTTCCGAGTCTTCCTAAGAGCTTCCAGGAAATGCTTTGTGTTAGAAGAAGCAGTTGCCATCTGATTTATTTCTAAAGTGAGAATAGCCAGGGGTTTGTTTTTGACATTCTTCCACTCTCTGGCAGGACAGCTGGGCACAATATTACCTTGGTTTGTTTGCTTTGTCCTGGGACGAAGGAGGCCCCATAGCCCAGTGTTCAGAGGCCAAAGGCCTCTCAAGTTGGACTCTGCACCCAGGGAGAGCTGGGAGTTAATTGAAGGGAACTTGAGAAAAGTGACTCCTGGCAAAGGCATGGGACCTATTAATAGGCTGGGCAGTGGCTGAGAGGGACTGAACTCGGGAAGCATTGATGGGGAAGGCCGGGTTTATTTCTGGGTCAGAGTGTTGAGAGGCCTCACTAGAGGGAGCGATACTGAATCTCCTCGGTTCAACCCACCAGCTCTGATGATTAAGTCCTCTTGACCGGCTTAAACAGGCCATCTTCCACACGTGCAATAAATCATCCACACGTGGAACACATCTAGCTGAGAGCTTGAAGTCCTCCCTCCTTTTTCCCTGCCTGGAGCAGGAATCTCAGGCCAGGGAATCAGAGGGATTGGTGAAGGGGGGTGCGATTCGGGGGAGGAAGGCGATGGAGCCCTCAGAGGGGCCTGTAAAGAGTCCGTACTGGAGAAGGATAGAGGGCAGGGATAATGGTTAGGGACCATGAGGGTGTGAGGAGTGGGATTTGGCTCATGTAGGTGGAACGTTGACAAAAGTGAAAGGCCAAACTAATAACCTCATCTTTGTTTTGTTCTGTCTTGAACCAGTTGCCACCTGGGTTACCACGGAGAGAGGTGCCATGGGCTGAGTCTCCCGGTGGAAAATCGCTTGTCTACTTATGACCACACAACCATCCTGGCTGTGGTGGCTGTGGTGCTGTCGTCTGTCTGTCTGCTCGTCATTGTGGGGCTTCTCATGTTTAGGTGAGTATTGGGGGCCTCTGCAGGCTGTTTCTGCAAATCACTTCCATTCCTTGTCTTCCTCCCGGGTCTTCTGCCTGGTGACCACATAAGCCCTCCAACCTCCCCAAATTCTGGGCTAGGATTCTGATTGCATTCCAAGGACAGGTTCTCCAAGGACCTGACTTCTCTGGTTTGACACGAGTCCAGTGTCTACAGCCAAGGGCAAAACTCACCAGGCCATAGCAGGTCCTGCTGCTCACAGCAGACCTGGTAACCCACCCATGGAACCACCTCTCCACACAGTTCTTTCTCCTGGCTTTGTTCTAGTGTGTGGTTTGGCATGGGTAGTGCTATTGGTATATCCTGCAAGTCTGAGGCATTTGGCCCTCAGGCCATGCTTCCAATCCAGGTTATGTTCTCGGTTGGGGGAGACCTACCAAGCACTCTGTGCTCATTTTCAAGCAGCATAACTCATTTGTTGTGAGACCTGGACCAATGTAGAGGGTTGTAGTCTTTGAGTGATTGTAATCTCTGTCCACCTACCTCACAGGGTGCTGTGAGGATTATATAAGTGAGGAGTAAATTTCTTAGCAAGTTGTAGCCTGCTGCTGTTAGTGTCAGTTTGGGTTCCTTGTCATAGTTGGACCTTTGATCAGACGCCTGTAGGGTTGCCATCCCTCTGGGCTTTTCCAAGTAGTGGGTGGAACCACCAATGACAGAACCCTTCAGAAGGACTCTTTCTGGGACCTGCGTCCTGTTGTAGCGGCAGAGGTTGCTCACAAAACTTAACCTTCCTCAGGTACCATAGGAGAGGAGGTTATGATGTGGAAAATGAAGAGAAAGTGAAGTTGGGCATGACTACTTCCCACTGAGAGAGACCTGTGCTCAAGGTAATGGTCCATTCTTTGCCCCATGGCACCATCACCACCTTCCCAGGATCTGTTTCAAGGCATACTGAATTCTTCTCTTGACCTGGGAGGGCAGGCTACTGTAGAGTTAGTGTCCCATTGCAGAATTGTTGTCCAAAAGGCTGTCAGTAGTTCATCTCCACTAAGGGTGAAAGTTGCTAGAGAGAGACCCAAGAGAGATGCCTGAGAGGGCAGCATTTCCAGCCCTCATCCCCTCTCCTCACCACCCTCCCCACCCTCTCCCAGAGGATCTTTCCACTTATTAAGACTGGATCTAGGAGACTCTTAAGACCCCTTAAGACTGGATCCAGCTTTAAAGTTCTTCCTCTTGTTCTTTAGGAACCAGCTGGGGACTGCTACCTCTGAGAAGACACAAGCTGATCACAGACTCTGCAGAGGGGAAGGACTTCACCGCCAGCCATGAAGACTCCCTCATCCCCAGTTGCCGTCCAGATTGGGCCTCCCAGTATTGCTTTATCAGAGCCTTCAAGTGCCAAACAGAATATGTCCAATGGGATCTGGGTCAGAAGGAAGCAAAAGTGAGGGACCTTCATGCTCTTCTGATTCCCCTTCACCAAACCCCACTTAACCCTATAAAGTTTGTTTAAACACTTGTCTTCTGGATTAAGATGCCAGTTAATTCCATATGCTCCAGGATCTTTGACTGAAAGAAAAAAAAAAGGGGGGAAGAAGGAAAGATTTGTGGACTGGAAGAAAGTAACAAAGATTGAAAAGCCACGGACTCAAGTAGTCACCAAGGGATCTGCCATTTGGACCCTACAGCGCTGGATTTGATGAGCTAACTGTGAAATACCACAAGCCTGAGAACTCTGAATTTTGGGACTTCTACCCAAATGGAAAAATAACAACTATTTTTTGTTTGTTTGTTTGTAAAATGCCTCTTAAATTATATATTTATTTTATTCTATGTATGTTAATTTATTTAGTTTTTAACAATCTAACAATAATATTTCAAGTGCCTAGACTGTTAACGTTGGCAATTTCCTGGCCTTCTACCCCGCATCCCCCTACCACTTGGCTCAGCATCACTATCTTCTGCCACAAATCTGAGGTGGCTCTATGACCCATCTGTCATCCATTGTCCACATTTCCACAGATCTTCCACGATCAGAGTGCCACAGGGGGCGGTCTGTATGGTCAGGATGTAGGAGTTAACTTTGTCAGATCCACTCTATGAGTTGGACTGCAGTCTTGCCTAGGCGATTTTGTCTACCGTTTGTGTTTTGAAAGCCCAAGGTGCTGATGTCAAAGTGTAACAGATATCGGTGTTTCCCCGTGTTCTCTCCCTGCCAAATCTCAGAAGAGGTTGGGCTTCCACGCTTGCAGCTTTCCTAACCCCCTACCCTCTATAGCCTCAGGCCCACAGAGTGGGATCTCACTCTCCCTTGTGTCAAGACATTTCTCTTACTCCTGCCATTCTTCTGGTGCTACTCCAAGAAGGGGTCAGTGCAGCAGGTGATAATCGAAAGAGGTATTAGTGGGAAAAAAGGCTGAGGAGGAACAGGAAACATTGGAGCTGACTGTTCTTGGTAATTGATAACCTACCAATTGCTACAGAGAAGATTGGAGGTGAGGATGGCTTTTGTGTGAACCCACCCACCTCACCAAAACTATAAACGTATGCTTTCATGGTCCCTTCTGGAAGTTTCTGGTGCCATTTCTGAACTGTTACAACTATATTTCCAAAACTGGTTCATATTTGTACTTTGCAATTCAAATAAAGATAACCCTTATTCCATAGTCTTCTGTCTGCTTGTTTTAACTGGGAATTAGTTTGACATAGGTATTTTCTAAGTCCTGATTCAATATTAGATCTACACTAGGCCTGTTTATGTATACTATCTTAGTATCCCCGACAACCCTGTGATGGAGGTACTACTATTGTCCCATTTTTGCAAAAGGGGGTTCAGAGAGGTTATGTAACTTGCCTAATGATACACAATTTTTAAATGACAGCCGGGATGGATAGTCTGAATCCAATTATTTATCTAAATAACTTATATTACACTACCTTTGACATGAAAGAGAATAGATCTTTCACATAGGCTGTGACCAGGAAAGACATCTGCCCATTCAATCAATAGACCCTGGACCCAGGGCCTGATCCTTGGCTGTATATACAAGCAGGCATTGCTCTTGGTGGAAGGTAGGCACCTTTGATTCCCCTCTCCTGCTCTACAACCAATCCATCAGCAAGTCTTACAATCCCTACCTTTAGAATATATGCCAAATGAAGCCACTTCTCATCACTGCCACTGCCATCACCCTAGTCCCATGGTCGGCAAACTGTGGCTCGCGAGCCACATGGGGCTCTTTGTCCCCTCGAGTGTGGCTCTTCCTAAGCCTTAGGAGTACCCTAATTAAGTTAATAACAATGTACCTACCTATATAGTTTACGTTTAAAAAATTTGGCTCTCAAAAGAAATTTCAATCGTTGTACTGTTGATATTTGGCTCTGTTGACTAATGAGTTTGCCGACCACTGCGTCCAATTCACCATTATCTCTTGTCTGGACTCTTGCAATGGCTTCCTCTCTCCTTTATTTCACTTTGGTCCCATATAGCCCATTTCCAATATAATAGACAGAGTGATCATTTAAAACGTAATCCAGATCTTGTCTGCCTTACAGGCCTTCCCTGACCACTTACTTATACATTAACACATTCTTCCCCCACCCCACTCTTCTTATTATCCTTATATTGTTTTATTTTTCTCTCTAGACCTTATCACCACTAACATATTATTTGTTTATTGTCTTTCTCTTCCTACTAGGATGCTAGTTCCATGAGGGTAGGTGTACATTTCTTCAATCCCAGATTCTAAAACAATGCAATTGAGTTGTAGGCACTCAATATTTGTTACAATGGATGAATATAAGAAATGACTGAAATCCACTCCAAGGCCAGCCAGTGAACAGGTATGTGATCCAATGCCTCCCTGGAAGTGTGGTGGGGTTAAAAGAAGGGCCTTTGTTTGAGAGTGTGGATGGGAATGGCAGGTCATGTGGCCATGGTGTCCTGGGTGGATTGAACACAAAGAGACCTATTGGGAGCCATTGGACAAGTGCCACTGGACTGCCCCCTCCTCATCCTCTTCTCTTGGAAATCTGTGACACTCTGAAGTTTTCCTAGGAGCCTACACAGAGATCTTGCATGTACTTTGAATATTCTTGTAAGACTTTCGGCCGTTGTAACTACCAAGGCTGAACATATACACATGCTATAATCCAGCGCTCTCACTCCTAGCCATATACATAAGAGAAATGACTGCATATGTTCACTAAAAGATACGTAAAAGTGACTTAGTGTTATTTACAATAACTGGAAACTTTCCAAATACTCGTCAGTATTTGATGATGAAATGAATAAATAAATTGTGATAGATCTATATAATGAAATACTAAAGAACAATATGGACAAATCTCACAAGCATAATGCTGAGTGAAAGAAGCCAGACACAAAAGGGTACATCTGTGCCACTTCATTTATTTAAAATTTAACAACAGGCAAAACGAATCTAGTAAAGGGAAAGAAATTAGGAAAGGAATTCCTATTGGGGTTGGTAATGACTGGAGGGGGCAGCTAGGGCAACTTCTGGTGTTCTGACAACATTATGTCCCGCAGTCTGGGTGCAGGCCAACCGGGTGAATTTGCTCTCTTTGAGAAAATTCATTGAGGATATTTGTGCATTTCTGTATCTGTTTTAAACACGAGCAAACATAGTTTTAAAAATTTGGATAGGGGATTCTTGTGCTATTTGCATTATATAAATCGCTGTAAAGTACCAATGTATTACTTTGGTAATCAGAGAAAATAGTACAGATATCAAAAATAACAGTGGGTTACTTTGAATTCTTCAGGGGGCTCCCTTTCCTGCTTGCTTCCAAACTTCAAGCTTCCAGCCTTCACGCAGGGCTGGGCTTTTCTGAGCCTACTTTGTTTCTCCCGCTAATGTTTCCTGTGGGCTCTGGGCTTCCTGCCTTTCAGCTCCTCTCTCCTCCTGGCCCTGCTGTTGATGGAGCGCTCCTTGGCGTTGTCAGAGCTCCCCTGGGCATCTACTTGGCTGATGTACTGACTCTGGGAGCCTCTGAACCTGCAGCCACTTCTCAAAATTGGCCAGCTCAGTAAGCACGGCCCACTGGACCGCACACTTTGCAGGCATCTTCTCAGCTACGTCTCGTCACAATCGAGGAGGTAGGTGCTCTGATTCTACTCATGTTGTAGATGCCAAAAGTGAGTGGTAAAGGCAAGATGTGCACTCAGGAAGCCTGCCTCCCAAGCCTTCATGCTAACCACGACGCTACATTCCCAAATGAGTTAGTTCTCAGTGCCAGACTATTTTCTCTTCTTTCCGTATCCAGAAATGGTATAGTAAAGAAATCTTATGAAAGGGATCTTAGGGAACAGCTCCTTAGAGCCCAAGAGTTTCTTCTCCTGCCCCCAGTTAATAGACTCACAGAAGGCCCGAGGTGCTGCATCAGGGAGCAGGGGAAGGAACAGGGGTGCAGGCTGACAAAAACTTGGGTCTGAGTCTAGGCTCCATTGTTTCCTAGGGAGTGCCCTCCTGCATGACACCTGGCCTCTCTGAACCTGTCTCCCTATCTATAAAATACGGATGATAAGAATATCCACCTGGAAAAGTTGCAAAAACGATATGTGTGAGTCAAGCGCCTCGCTCAGGCCAGGCCCATGCTAGATGCTCAGTAAACGTTGGCTATCTTCAGCAACCCATCCAAGGAGCTAATTAGTGAACAGCCAGGATTAAAACCCGGCCCTCCGATTCCCCATCCACAATTCTTTCCTTAGAAACAAACACTGCTTTTCAATCATTATTTTACATTTTAATCTCAACTTCTTTAATTTCAAAGAAGCCCAAACGGGTCTTAAATAAATATTTTTGGGTTTAAGAAGCCATGGAACAGCAACTATGTCCAAATATATCACTTCAACTCTGGCTGGCCTGACATTCTTCTTTTCATCAACAATGCCTGAAATTCAAGCTTCCTGTTTGAGAATGCTAATGCTCCTGGGAATAGCCAAGCGTTCAGGGGCTGGCATTCTTTGTTGGTGTCATTCATTTTAGCTTCATTCATTCAGCAAATATTTGTGGAGGCCTCCCTGTCACCTTCCAAATGAGATTCATGCTCAGAAGGAGGGGTCATTTTGATTAAGTGAGGGTAGGGTAAGAAAAGAAGTAATTTTGGAGCCAGGGCATTCATTTATTCATTCAAAGAAATGGACTGGGCAATTATAATGTGCCATGTACTATTCTTGTTGGAGAATAGGGACACAACTGACACATGGACCAACAATACATGTGTAAATAAAGAAATAGGATAATTTCAGAAATAAGTAACACACACAAAAGAGTGATGTGCTGAGGAGTCAGTGGGGAATTAATTTATATAGGCAGCTCAAGGAAGGCCACTCTGAGGAGGTAACACCTGGACTGGGATAAGAGGGGATCAGGCATGTGAAGGCCTGAGATAAAAATAAGCTTAATATGCATGAGGGACAGAAAGGGACCCCTGAGCTGCAGCGTAGCCTTTGGAGGTTGAAGAGGGAAGGAAGACTGGATCCTGTGAGGCCTTATAGATCACAATTTGGAAGCCAATGGAGTGTTTTGAGAGGAAGGGAGTGATATGATTTGATTTATGTCTTAAAAATAAATATATGGCCTGGCTGCTGTGGCTCAATGGTTGAGGGTTGACCTATGCATCAGGAGTTCACAGTTTGATTCTCAGTCAGGGCACATGCCTGGGTTGTAGGCTTGATCCCCAATATGGGGCATGCATCACTGATGTTTCTATCTCTCTCTCCCTCCACCTTCTTCTCTGAAATAAATAAAACTATATTTATTTAAAAAATATGACTGCTCTACAGAGAAGCGGGTCTACGGGGTGAAAGAGGAAGAAGCACGACCAGTTAGGAGACTTTTGCAGCCATCCAGGCAAGACATGCTAGTGGCCAGGATTAGAGTGGTAGCAGAGGAGGGGGTGAGAAATGGCCAGATTCAGGATATGTTTTAGAGGCATCACCTACAAGACATGCTGATGGATTGAATGTTGGTACCATGAGAAATAGAAAAATCAAGGATGATTTATTGAATTTTAGCCCAAGAAACTGTGTAAATGATGGTCCTGTTAACCAAATTAGGAAAGAAAGGAAGTTCAGAAAAGCCATGAAAATACTCTTTTGTGTACATATTAAGCCTATATGGGGTGAAGGAGGGCCGTGCAGAGAAAGCAATGGGAGGAAGGGGGATGCAAGGAGGAGAAGAAAAAAAAAGAGGCAAAAGGCTTCTAAATAGGAATCATACTTAATCCTCACACTGCCCCAGGGAGGTGGGTGGTATCATTACACCCAGTTTAATGGATGAGGGCCCTGAAACTCTGAGGAGTGAAGCACCTTGGGCAAGGCTGTTTGTTACTAAGTAATGCCCTTTGGCTTGATGCTGACCTTTTCTAGGAGGGCCCAGGCTCCTCGCTGAGCGTGAGCTCCTATCTTGGCCATCATTCTCCAAAGAGGAGAATTCTCTATGTTTTCCTTCTTGCTGTGGTGAGATGCCCAAGCCAGGGAGCAGGGCACCAGGCAATGTCTGTCACTCCATGGAGACCAACCCCCCAAAAGAGGAAAAAAAACACCCAGTCTCACCCTGTCCAAGAGCAGGAGCAGGAAGTTAGAATTGCCCCTTTCTGTGATTGATTTCCGCAGTGTCAGGCCACCACCAAATCAATATAA